CCCAGAAAAGATCTCCCTCACCTTTTCCTCACCATTAGTCACTGCCGTGTGTCAAAAATCGACTGCTTCTGTATGTCACTGTCATCGGCCAAGGCCAAGTCGAGCCATTTGAGAGGCTGCCCTCCAGAGGACCCCAGAGATAGGATCAGAGCGCCCCAGGAAATACCACAAAGTCTGACACGCAGCACAACACACTCCTCCCTTAGGTCACGCTACTGTGGGGCCCATAATGTGTGTATTCATATGAAATGTATGTTTACAGTTTAAAGACATTCATGGGAAATATTCTCCTAAGTGGGGAGTTTAATTTCTGCACCCACCAAGCTTCCTGTGGTGATCCAGACCCAGTTGCATGGGAGAATGTGATATCATTGGTACTGAAGATGCACATCACTTGGCTCAATGTACAGTACACTGTATTATCATGTGCCTCAATGGAGTAATGCAGAATTGCCCATGTGAGAAAATCATCCATATCTCCTGAGGGCTTTTTCTGGTTCTTGTTCATGTCCAGTTGTCAGATAAACACTCATGCACACACACTCACACAGACACACACAAGCACACACACACATAGGCACGCACGCACACGCACGCACACACATGCACACACATGCACACACATGCACACACACAATCAGCATCCCCACCCTCAGGACCTGGAGAAAAGTAGTAAATGCCAGTATTTCCAGGAATTTCCTTTGAAATGTTTGATTGTTCAAGTCAAGCATGTAAAATCAATGCCTGATGCTTTGTGTCATTTTAAGTATGGCTTTAGGGCCTTAGGGTGTGAACATTAAAATGCAAACATTACATGCCCTCTGCCATACCATGCTGTATAATTACTGTATGTTCTCTGCCAAATGAATGTGGTTGCTGTTTTAATGATGTGGCTGAAGCAATAAGGGAGAAAGTGTCTGTTTTGATATTCATCTAATAACATGCAGCCATTGGAAAGTATTGTATTTTACATGTTTCTTCTATGTAAATGTGTCATGAAAAGAAAATTTGGAGAAAGTGATTATAAATCAGGAACAAAGACTCAAAATTTCACTCCAAAATTGCATCAATGTTTCACTTCAAAACAAAAACAAAACAAAAACGTGTTGCATTGTTGTCGTACAATATTTAGCACTGACACTGACAATAATTAATATTCATGAGACTGCGACTTTGCAGCCCCTCAGGATGGTTAAATTAATTATGCTAACAGGGTCATTTAACTGCTTTATTCAAAGCAAGCAATTCTCGTGCAATAAATGACACAATAATTACGCACACAATCTAACAAGAGGACAGTGACAAGTGGAGGAGTGACACACTCATCTCCATAAAGTACAAAGAACACATTTATACGCACGCACACACACAACAAACAAAGAAAAAAAAAGTAAAATCTGTACAGGCAAGATGAAAGAATAACAAAAACCACCTAACGGCTCTACATCCGCTGCAGCTTTTCTCTTTATGAGTAGTAAATATGATTTGTTACCACGTGTTATTATTTAGCGTTATTCATCTTCTCTGTCAGTGCACACAGAGGGGTAATAGAAATGCCAGCAAGGTGGCTGATTTACTTAGTAAAATTTTCATCTCAAGGCTTGCAAGGCATGATTGGAGTCTGAGAGTAACGGGAAATCATGCATTATGTAGGCGAATCTGACACGACCTTGAGACTTCTCAGCACAGACCATATATTACCATCAGAGCGACCTTCCCATCCCGAAGATACATCTGATGTGTTTAAGGCTGTTTTACAATGCATTAGGAGGGCTTTACATGTGCTGAGCTCACTTTATTTGCTCATACATTTCACAGGAAGAGTTTAGTGTCAGGCTGATGGGGACCATTCACAGTGACTGAGTCACTTGTCGAGACAAATGAGGCCGTGAAAACAGGCAGAGGCGGTGGATAATAAGCATTTCAAAGCAAATTCCCCACTTTTCACTTTTTGTTTCCCTCCACTATAGAGCACATTTACTATTCAGTGAACCCTTGCTGATTCCAGCTCATCATGTATTCTCACCTGCCGCGATTGATTGACCTGCATCTTGAAGACAGAGAATGGATGTAATTTTTCCCACCAAGTGATGGGGGGTCAGGATCAATATTCTCACTGTTGGTTAAGCTTTTGCAACCTTTAGAATATCATCTCCAATCGATCTCTCTCACATAATTGTCTGCGTTTTCAAATCAAGTATTTCTTTTTTGTCTTTTGTGCATGCCAATGACATTTGAAATGCCTCACGGTCACACGGTCACTATATGACCCGACAAAATACCCAAGGTAAAGGGCACAAAACAGATTCATTAGCATGTTATATTTATTGTCCATATCTCCCACTTTCTACTTTTCGCCCCTGTGCTATAAACATGTGGTGTGAGTGAGGCCATGTTGTATTTCCATATAAAAAGCCCCCTAATTACAGGGGGGGCGGGGGGTGAAGACGGTTGTCCCTCTTATCAGAGGAAATGATAAGGGAGTACCAGGCCAGTGAAAGAACAGAGTCCATTTTGATATAATTGGCAGTGGAATTATTTATGACATTAATTGCCACATTATCGACTGGCTGTCAGCTCCTGTGTCAGTCTGTCCATCTTTCTTAGCAGAAAGAGCCAACTCAGCCTGCTGCCCACTGACAAGCTAATTACTACAGCACAACCCTGAATGACAAATGTTACTCATCTAAGACTGGGCCCGGAAATAAGGGCTACCCCACCCCCCCCTCTTCGGCTTCTTTGGATCGAGTGAGACAGCAGTGTGCTGCCAAATGTCTTCAGGTGCAGGAGTGAAAGAGTTTGCTTGTCACAGAGAGGGAGAGAGAGAGAGAGAGGACGAGGAGGGAGGGAGAGTTTTCTAGAGCCAGGGGGACAGTTAAATCTAAATCTCACCCCATCCTGTTTTCTGCTCTGCTATCAGTGGCCAGTTGTCACTCATAAAGACAAGTCCTTTTTTTCTCCTTCTGCCTTCTTGTAAATTTGCATTAGCTCATGCCAATCAGTCATCGGGCTGTGGGCAGATGTGTAGTGACGGGGTGATTGGTCCTTAGTTCTTCTGACAGTGAGTCACACACTCTGTGCCTTTTGGGGAGGTGAATCGTATTGTGCCACCAATGTAATATAGAGCTCGGAGATTTTACAATATTTAAATACATTTTAACATGCATTTAAATCTGAAATTGTTGCAATATTGGGTCACTATTACTGTACAAAATCATATATAAATGTATGTACTATACTTTTTTGCAGTTAGAATACAAGAAGTCATTGTACTTTACCACTGGGTGTTAACAAGAAAGTAAACAAGACGTTTACTTTTAATATTTCGAAACGTAATTGAAACATATTTTTCAGAGATATTGTTAAAACTGTCTCACCATCTTCATTAAATCGTTTTTTTTTTTAAATAACATCTATACTATATACATTTTGTCCCCTTTTCCACTGTGAATGCATTACACACTCAAACCTGATTATAATTAGTATGCAGTATGAAGTCAATTTAAGATTTACTTTTACTAAATGCAGTTTTCAAATAGTATTTGGTTTTATTATGTTTACACTGTTTAAACTCACATTTAATTTGTAAAATATTACATTATTTATTACTACAGATACTGTGCACATACATCCAGCTGTGGTTCACACAAGCATGGATACACACTGACAATATGTAGGTACAGAGTTATACCTTCTTTTTGAGTGTACACACACACACACACACACACACACACACACACACACACACACACACACACACACACACACACACACACACACACACACACACACACACAGGCTAGCAGAGGAGCCCGCAGGGCTACTATAGCAGAATGTCACTGATCTGCACTGATGAAGTGGCGTGCCATTTGTTCAGCCAGGAAGTTCCCAAGGAGCAGCAGTTGTGACAGAGATGAGGGTCAAGGAGTGCATCGCCTACAGGTAGATCTGTGGATCATACCTTAATTAATCTACTGTCCGTGATGCCAGGCATCCCATTCATCCCCTCGCATGCACAAAGGCGCATGTCAAGCATATGTCAACCCGCTCTGGCACTCTCCGCCCATCCCATAATGCAGTTTGTGTTGGTGTGGCAGCTCGGGATGCGTCCCTGACGAGGATAGGAAGTGACACACACCAAACTCGGTGTGTCCCCCAGCCAGCTCCGGTGGCTCGGGGCCTGTCAATTCCAGCTCCGTCAGTGGCACTGGCTCAATGGCAGTGCCTGTGACACATGTCACAAAGTTTTAAATGTCTGCTCTTTTCAGCAGGATGGCTGGGCGCGCGCGGCAGCCAGGGGAAGGATGACATTTTGTGTCGTGCGGGGGGGAACTTGTTGTGGCTCCCCTCTTCCTGCCTCCTCCGGCTGTCAGCCCCAGTTTCCTCTGAGCATATCAAAACACAGACAAATAAACCTTGTCATTTTGAAACGCCGGCACTAGTGACCAGGCTCCTGAACGGCATGTCAGCTGGAATATGGTCACACAGTCCTGTAGGAAGTGGTGTATAAGCACATGCAAGCAAGCACGCATACTCTCACATGCACAGTCTTGTAAACCAGCACAAATGTTTGAGCTAATAGAAATAAGAAATAAACAGATACAGACACAGTGAACAAACATTGCATGAGGCTATCTCTGACCTTTCCTTCATGTTTGTGGATGATTGACGCACTAGACTGAAGCTCATCATGGCTTCTTTCAAAGCCTCTCCTCTCTATCTCATCAACTACTCCACCTCTAAAGAAGTAGGTAATGTAATCTCTGCGCCTCATGACTTGACATGAGGTTTGTCAGTCAGGAACATCTTTGTAATGAGTAACACAGGGCTATTAAAACATTGATTGGCTCTATATGATTTATACAGGAAAAAATATTAATGTGATGGACATTTGATCATTAGGAAACCGTATTGTGGTGACAGAAGGAATTAATGTGAAAGCACCACAATAAGCTCTACATCAAATTGACAAGAGACTCATGTTAAGTTAAACCCATTTAATCACTTGAAGACATCCAGCTAATATAATTTCACATCAGATCAGCTACATTACATCATTCATTCATCACAGAATTTCACATTGGAAGCTTGCCTGGAGAAATAAAAAATAAGATCTTAAAACCTGGCAGCACTTTACCATAGGTTGTTGTGAAAAGTATTACAAACCACCACAGACACATTCATTGTAAAATCATGATGATTGTTGAAGTATTATAAAATGAAAACACTTAAAAAACAATGCATTTGAACAAATTTGGGGTGACTGTCCTTTCAATATAACATTAAATTTTTTTCTGAAGATTATGTATTATAGTTTGTTCACAACTGAATACAATGGAATGCAAATAATAAAAGGAATATTTCAGCATAAAGTAGTTAACTGGCTGAAGACAGTGGGACAGGCACAATAACTTAAGTTTCTGGCACCATAATAGATAATGACACACCTGAAATGCACACTTGGTTACAACTCTGTTCTTCGTTAAGGCCGATAGTGGAATGAGTTTGACTTTAAAAGCTGGATTTGACAAGGCTTTTCAAAGCTTTTCAATACTTGCAACACACACTGACCAAACCATTGCTCAAATATCAGATATATGTCTGACAAATTCAGTACAACTCATTCAAATAAAAGAAGGAAAAGCAAACAAAACAAGACTGATCATGCCTCAAGTTCAGACTGAAAATCTGTGTTTAAAGTGTTTAACCAGGCTGTGTAAACCTTGTTCTGTCAAACTCTTTGCAGTGTCTTAATGTTTTAAACAGCAGTAATGCGTGTGTGGGTGTGGGTGTGTGTGTAAAAGAGAGAGCGAAAGAGGGAAACAGTGAGACAGAGAGAGAGAGAGAGAGAGAGAGAGAGAGTGAGAGAGATGAGTCCGTGTCAGGCCCCAGGTGTGTGACCGTCACCCCCTTCACCCTTGATTAGTGGCGGTAGTGGATGGGTGATCCATCATGGCTGTCAAAGAAAAGGATGCAATTGGCTGGGTCTGTTTGTCACTGACTGTGTGTAAAAGAACGAGAGAGAGAGAGAGAGAGAGAGAGAGAGAGAGAGAGAGAGAGAGAGAGAGACTGTCCTTTTGCGTGTGTCGGTGTGCGTGTGTCTGTAGTTGTGCGGTTTCTGATGCTTAGAGGCAATCATGTCAGTGGGAGTGTCATCTCTGACTCTGACTCCGAGCTGGAAACAGGGAGGCAGAAGCAGACCAAGCTCAGCAGAGGAGGCCATAACTATGGGGCTGGAATATGATCTTTGGAAGGAGAAAAAAACAAAACATTCTCCTTACATAACCATGACAACATCTTTTGATAAAGTTTAAATCTCTTTCCAGTGGGAGATGGGGTGACTCAATATCACCAGTGCTTTTGATAAATAAGACATTGGGGTGATCATCTTTCCTTGTTAATACTCATTGTCATTCATGTCCCTCTTTATGCCTGACCGGCTGTCCATCAGAGTTGGTCGTTTCGGATGAATCTGTTGCCTTCTGAGTGCTTGCCATAGTAGACGTAGCGGCACTTGGCGAATACCCCTAAAAACACAATGAGAGAAAGTCAGGTGAAGTGTGGGAGAATAACAAAACATTCATTATCAAAAAGTGAGGAAAAAATACACTGTAATGTACTTGCCCTCTTTTATAGCATTTAGCATTTGTGACTGGATTTACACTATCTCTTGGAATATTTCCAAGTCAAGTGCCAGTCACACAGACTCCCCTCTTGGCATTCACCGATCAATAATTTCTTGATCATAAGAATTTGAGCCACATTCACATATACAGTTGCACTGCTTGAGTTATAGATGAGCACGATTGGTTCCCAACCTGTGGGACAAGCCCCTCCCTAACTTAAAACCCAGCAGAGTCATTAAAGCTTATTTGGATCTGATCATATACTGCAGGAAGTATAGAAACTAATTACAAAGTAGCCAAAATCCTCCATTACAAACCAGGTCTAATAACGGCTACATCTCAAGTAAGACTGCGGGGAAAGACGATAAACGGATGTAAAAAGTTCAGTCAAAACAAGGCTTAACATTTTATGAGGTAGTAAATGCATTCAATGTGTTTATTGGACCTTAAGGACACGGACGATAAGTTTTAGTGAGAAAACATTGAATGTAAACAAAACCTTGTTTGTTTACTGTCGTGCAAAAACTCCACAGGGTAGCTTTAAATGGCAGCACTGAGCAGGGTCTGGGTCTGCTCCTTGTAAGGGGATGAGAGGTGTTGCTGGGAAGGATGAGCATCTTGTTTCACAGAAAAGACCAGGCTGGCCTCGGGGCAAAGTCCTGACAGTAACAAGCTCACAGCCACCCACGTACACTCACACAGACACATACACGGGCACACACCGAACCATCACAGCGAGCAATTATTCAACTATCAGCAGGCAGGGGTGTGGTATGTCCATGTGTACTTGTGTATGGGCATGTAATAGGCTAATAAAACACACTAGATAGTACTGATCAATTTTGGAGTTGAGAACTCGCCACTGTCTATCATTTATGCGACATCGTGCCGAGGTACCACTCTTTCAATCATGTTTTGTTTGATTTGTTTCTTGAAAAAAGCCTGATAGATAGCAGCCTGAAGCTTTGGAGAGGTCTCTGGCTCTCTCTCTCTTGTTATCACCAGTGAATGAGGGGAAACAAAGTCTAATTACAATATTCTCCTGCAGAATTGAGATTAAACTACTGAAAATAGTCATAATAGCCAGGAAAGTAAAATGGAAGTCAGTAAAAGTCCATATGCAGTTTCAGTTCATCCCAACAAAGTCAAATATGGTCAATTAGCCAATCAAAGAGGTTCATATATGTCTTGTACCTGTTTTACATCACGAACAGTGTAAATTCAGCAAAGCTAAGCATTTGGAATTACAGTTGCACAAATCATTTAGCCAGAATTGGGGCTAGAGGAAGAAGCCACATGCCATCTATGCACCTTCATCTGTGAGGATGAATCCAAGATGGCCGGCAGTACTCGCTTGTTGTAATGAGAGGTGCTGCCATACAGGGTGAGGGCTGCCCACCGCTCTGTGGCTGGTCTGCTCTGACTCTGATGTCACAGCGCTCCCACTGCCACTTGATGAATGTGGCGGGTTGTGGCTAGGTGTCACCTCTCGCCAAATGAGGCAAGGACAAGTGGCATTAGTGCTGTCAATGATCCTCTGACAGGAGAATAGATACAGCTTTCACCAGGCTTTTTAAATAGACATCAAGTGCATTATAGGAGAAGGGGGGCCAGGCTAGAGACAGGGCAGGAGAGGAGAGACTTATGGGAGAGGCGTCGTGGCAGAGGGATGAGGGGTGCTCCAAGCGCTAAGTCCAATCACATAATCCAAAGAGACATTGTCAAGGGCGGGGAGAGAATGGCAACTAAGTGACAGAAAGCAGAGACGGGGACAGAGATACTGGTGCCATATTAGTGCCAAGCATATTCTGATGCCACCCTCAATTCTAACCAAACCTGACACATCGCTCTCTTTACCCCACTCTCTCTGACTCTTCAAAGTAGGCTCTACCAAGTCACACATGCGTGCACACACACACACTCGCACACACTAGCGCACATATACAGTACGAAGACGAACACACAAACACACACACCAGTCCCTCGCAGCAGTAGTGGGTGTTCTGTCAGGCGGAGGAGCAGTACAGCAGCAGCAGCAGCAGCAGCAGCAGCCCACAGGCCCGAGGACAAGCTCAGTCAATCTAAATCTGGACTTTGTAGTGGAGCAGTGCTCATTTCCCCTCATAGCCCAGCTACTTGAGGTGATCCAAACACTGAAGTGTGAGGAGCTGTCACCTCCAATAAAATCCGGGACCAGCTCCATGCCTGCCTGCTCCTCCGGTGTGTGAGGGGTACATATACATGTGTGTTTGTGCTTCTCTGACAGTGAGGATGTTGGGGCAGGGGGTGAAGGGGGTGGGGATGAATTCCAGCTGCCGTGATTTGCCTGGGGATATAGGTGCCACGGCTGGAGACTGGGCTTGACACCACAGGACTCGGGGTGTCTCACAGCGCTCTGATCACATGGGTGCTGAGGCCTTTCACATATTCACAGCTTACCCGGCGAGAAACTCACTCTCTCCAGGAGTGGGGCCCTTAAAGAGATTACCCATTGAGGTACCAGAACCAAGGCTCCTATAAGACATTACCTAGAGGGGATATATTTGTAGGTTGCAACCAAAGCCTTTCAGAGATAACCTTCACAGATGAAGGAACTGAAGCTAAAGGCCCCCCAAGCCTTCACACTCTGCTGATCTCGTCACCAGCCCGTGGGGACTGAGAAGGATTGGAGGGAGCACATTCTGTGATCCTCCAGCACCAATCAGAAAGCTCTGGACGATGTGTGACCTGTGACTCTCCAACAGCGCTTAAAAAAGAAAAAAGAAAAAAAAAAGAAGCTACATCTGTGATCGAGGGAGGAGAGGAGGAGTAAATTAAGGAAAAGTGTAGAACAAAGCACAGGGATGAGGTCTGCTTCCCAGGGGGGTGAAAGAGTATGAATGTGTCTCTTAATTTTCTGTGCAACCTGGCTCAAACTCTGGCTACATTTCAGCATTACATTAAGCAGTGTTTTTTATGCATAAACACATTCCAGTTTGCTGCCTTCCCTTCACAGCAAGAGCTTGCTCTTATTACGGGAGAAACCAGGAGAAAGATGGGGTGGTTGGAGACAGAGAAGGGAATAACTAAGCCAAACTCACTCTTACATAACGCGCTCTCAGGGCACGCTCACGCCTGTGGGGTTCCACCTGATGAACTGATACTTAATAACGAGTGGTACAGTGCCAAACCCAGTAGTCTACAATATCCTCTGTGTATCCTAAGCCATGGATGAGCACACTTGAATCAACACCCACACTCTCAACCATATACACATTATCACAAACCCATACACACTTTGATGTCGAGCACACAAACACAGCACACAGTGAGAACAGTGGGAGCAGCCATTGAAGTGACAGATTAACAAAGTGATGTGGAGGCTAATGCTTCCATCATGCCCTGGCGGAGGAACAATCAGGCCTTTGTTCTGCAGATGTCACGCGGCACCTTGTTGTTTTTAAGGGGAGTAGCTAACCCTCTTGTCTTTATTAAAGGGCGGTACAGTCGGTATCTTGTATCTTCCTCTTGGTGAATGCGGCAGTGTAGGTTCATCGTCAGACAGTCTGGTCGTTTCAGAGCTGATTACCCAGAGCATGTGTCCTCTCTACAGGGGCTTGACGGGCCATTCTGCCACTGTGCTTACTGTGAGTAAGCTAGCTGTAGAAAGCCTCCTATGTACAGTGGTCCAATATCAAATCAACACATATGGTAGGAAAAAGCTTTTTGTGGACATATCGTTCTTCCATATCAACTATAATCAATAAGGTGCAACTGGTGATACTTTATTGCCTTGTCGCACAAAATGACCGTAACACATAAACAGAGGTTTACAAGTGCTGTTGATCAATACAGTATCAGTCACTCAGTGCTGTGGCTGCAGCACTCCAGCTCATGCTCTTGGTTTTGGTGGACAAACTCATTTATAAAGATATTCAAATTTGTGAAGAAACACTGCTCCTTGAACTGTCAGATTTATATCTGCTAAAAATGCATTTCCACTGGATGCTTTCAATTTTCAAGGGCACTTAATTTCAAAATCATTTACAATTTAGTAGAAAGACAGATGAAAGATCTAATTTCACCCTACTGAATAGATGGCAGAAGTCCTATCTTTTTCCAAGCTAGCATCTGTTTCACTATAGCCTCAGCTCCACAGTGTATGTGGAGTGTTTTTTTTTTTATTGAGGGGTTCTTTCATGTTTTTCTGGGAAGCTGAAATGTCAGTGTGTAAGTTCATATGAGGAGAACATCAATTACCAGTAATAGCAGATTGCAGGGATGGAAGTGAGAGTGAGGAAAGTTAGGCCCTGATAGGGATTGGAGTTCTGCCACCTAAACTGAAACTGACGGGTCACAACAAACTGTTTCTGCTTCCATTTGCATCATGTGTTGCAAACAGATCCACCTGGAGGCATTGCCCAAGAGAGTGTAGACAATGTGTTGCACTAGCCCAGCAAGTAAATGCCTAGTAACAGATGTTAGGCAAAATACTGTATACCTTTGAGTCTCACGTCTGGTTTAAGTCTCCAGTTTTGCAGTTCCAGTCAGGTTCTGTCAGTCAGCCACAAAGATGTGGGCATGAGCCAGATTCTGAGCCATGCCAGCTCCACACAGCAATAAACAGTATATAGCTAATACATTCATTTAGAATACAGCTCTAGAGCTATAGCTCACCAGGGAACATCTTTTCATATATATGCTTTGACTGTGGGTTATGGAGATCTGCAATAATAATAACAATGATCATATCTTTGGGGTGTCAACACTAAAATCGGACAGTGGCCTACTGTACTCTGCCACTGGTAGTGCATGGGGTACTAGTCAGATAGTCAGATTTCCTGCAGTAAAATGTTGAACATCACACATTTGTTTATCAAGTGAAGACAAGTTTTTGGGTTACTTATTAAAATGAATCTCAC